TGTAACCAGGTCGCACCATCAACATCCTGCAAACATGGTACGACTCTTTTCTTTCGACCGCGCAGTGACTGCATTCTTCCTCGACTAGTATTGCATGTCATTAATTGCCTCAGCGATGCTAATAGACCATGCCATTGCCTTTTGTCAACTTCCTTACAATCTATGGATGTGCTGTTGTTTTGCTGCCGCTGCAAAACCTATAAACTATTCATGGAAATATTGTGTCCACTAGTCATGGAAGTAGATATTCAACTCCGGAGCCTCTGTTTCTGTTGCGAAACACTCTTTGAGCACTTCAAGCAGGGTATTCGCTGTGTTATTGGTGAACTTGAAGAATCTCAGTCGTAAACATTGATCATTAGACTAAAATACGAATATGTTCAGTCGATCCCAACTAGAAGCAGATATACATGAGAGATACATTGATATCCCACTAGAAGTAGCTACAGACATCCCACAAGCTTTATAGGTGCGTGGTGGTGTTTTGGAAGGCGAAATCTTGCACTAGATCGACGCAAATCATGAACGTTCCAACCTCAGCCATCACAGCAAAGAAAGGTCTCTGGGCCTCAGGCCCAAGCAGCCCATGGGCGCAGGAATTAACAAAAAAGGAGGGATGCGCTCTTACGAACGCCGATGAATGACTCATCGGAGGTTTGAACTCCGGACCTTCAGTGTACTAAGGAGTGCTGTGAAGCGCTCTGTTAGACTGACGTGATAACCAACTACACCAACGAGCCCTGTTTGATGAGAGGAGTTAAATTTGGTTTAGATATAGCCATACTGAATTTGAACTAACGATAACTGCCTACTCGAAAGTAGGAATTTGACTTCATGCTCGTGCAATTGGCAAAGTCGTGGTCGGCAAAATCTCTGCTCGGTGCGGGGTGTGGGAGCTGAGCCGATCAACGTGGTTGGCCGAGATGTCGGTCCCACCAATGACTACCCACACCAGGGTATAGTGACGAAAAGCCTAGCCGTGGTAGGATAGCCCAACATACAGTGTTGTTGTCAATTAAGGACGTTGTAGACGGAATGAGATAAACCTCCATATGGCCTATCGTGAGACCAACGCAGAAGTATGGTGTGACGATGTATGAGCGCAAGCTTTCAAAATTGCGTCAAACGCAAATTCTTGACCACGCGCTCGCTTCTAGTTCAGGCTCGACAAGAGCTAGTCTGTTGGGGTGCGTGCTGATGACATGAGAGTACAGGCGTGTGCACCTGTGGTGAGTAGTCGGAGAGTTCACAGCGACAGTAGCTGCCGCGCCAAAAACTCGACCTTCGTCTCAGGACTCCCAAAGCTTGACCCGCTGATACCAAGCCTAGCGACAGCTTGGAAACGGGTAGCATGATTGCTAGCCAGACTGCTAGGTGGCCGATCTGCATCGCCAACGCGCGTGGAGAGCTACCGCCCGCATGGTGTAACGGCCTTGGTACAGCTGGGCGACCAACGGCTTTTTTGTGCGCGTACTGCGTGAGCGAAATCTTCACTAGATGCGCCGGTGTAGCGCCCATGAACGGGTTAAAGATCGAAATGCAACTTGACTCATTGTGGACGCGATCGTGGGCATAGAGTTATCGTCTTGAGGGGCCGTGGGCGTTGGAGCTACGAACGCGTCGCGTGCCTAAGAAAAGAGCGGAGCGGAGCCAAAACCACCGACCAGCAGAAACCTTCTGGCACCTCTGTCTCTTTCTACCTACTCGCCAATCCCTCGCGGTGAACGATGAAATCCCTCTTTCGTACTGCGCAGAAGGCCAAGCTGCGCATACCATTGCATCAACGACCAATCTACTCACATCGATGCATCGAGGTTGCGGGGTGAGCACAGTCCCGCCCAAGCAAGCACGCGTCAGCTGCACACGCGCATCGTTCATCACATTACGACAAGCACCACTCCAAGGCTCATGCTGTGCTTCCTGCACGCGTCTGGAGAAGACAAGAATCCATCAAAATCCCCGTAGCCAAGACCTCCATGTGTCGCACCTCGGTAGGAGTTCCAGCCACGGGGTAGCGCGCTACACCAATCTGGAAAAGTAGCCTAAAAACAGACCACGTCTCAAACCTCACATCGCATCTTTCGAGCCGCGGCCCCGGTTCTTTACTCCGCTGAACTATTTACCGCTCCACTTGTTCAAGACGCCAAGTGTTACCATCAAGGCTTACCCCCTTCGAAGCTCATGGCCGAGGCCTGTCAGTCTGGCCCCTTTGCCCCAGACGAACGCTGTGGAGTAGGGCCGCCAAAGGGTCGCATCTTACGCCCGCGTGCCTGAGAATCCGGCGATCGATGCTCATCTAGGTAGACGATCCCTTGAACCGACCTCTTGTCACCTCCTGTATAATATCGATACTTGGCAGGCGTGCCTAACGGGAATGCTACGGGCTTGGTGTCCTAAGCATTACCCAGTCCCCTTCTACAGCTGTCAGGAGGCTTCAGATTTGAGCTTGGCTATGTTCCAAGAGCCAGAAGATCGAGATATGGCTTACGGTATGCGTCAGCGCAAGGAAGAGTGTCATCGGAGATCCGTATCGGCCATGATGTGATATGTGCATCTTTCACCCAAAATGGAAGTCCATCCTCCATGCCCCAGGCAGATCTCTTTCTCAACGCGCAAGCAGATCAATTTTTTTTACCAGGCAGCAGAATAGCCTGAGCAGGAACTCCTCTGGGGCCAGCTGCAGGTCTCGACTAATCACAAGCTTCGTAACGCTCGAGACCGCGGTCACCGATCCACTTGCAGCACCAGAACCATGCATTAGCCCCGGCAACTAGCATCGCTCTCCAGGCTTATTCGACCTTGGCTTCGCATCACAAAAGTTTCGAGCCAATGTCAAACAGCGGGAGAAGCTTGGCACATACTTCCAAGGGCAAAGCGTTGCCATGCTATGCTTGCCGCCACTTGGCGCGGCTTCAGGAAAGTTTCACACCTACGCCGATATGGCTAACTCATCTTGGCGGTCAACCACGATGAACCCGCAATATCGTGACTATCGAGACACAATAGGTTGCGTATAAGAGGACAGTAAACCCACTTCTTCTATCCTGCAGTCCGGTCACTCACTTCAATTCACTACCCAACCATCTTTCAATCTCCGTCGCCGGGCGACTTCTATCACTTAGTACATTTATCGAATCATCTAATCATTCATCAAACTCCCATCCTTCACTACTACCCATACCACTTAATCGAAAGATACCAACAAAACTAAACCGACAACATGCTTCCTCAACACGTCCTCATTGCGCTCGTCGCCACTGTCGCTGCCGTCCCGCTTAACATCAACTTGGGAGCTTACTCGCCTGCCCTGGTAGTCGGTGATGGAGAGATCTCACTCGGATCAACAGAATCAGCATCACAGTTGATGGCTACGCTCGCATCAGGAGCAGCGGCCGGTGCCGGTGGAGAGGGCGCAGCAGCACAAGGTCAGCAAGAAACACCAGCGCCTGCCGCCGAAGCTCCTGCAGCTGAAGGCGAGGCTGCTCAACCTCAAGAAGAACAACCAGCTGAAGGCGAAGCAGGAAAACGCTCTATCCTTCGCCGCGCCATCAGCGACATCCTCGGCAAGCGCAACCCCGCCCCTGTTGAGCCTAAGATGGCCGCCGTGGAGGAGGCTATGCAGTGGATCAAGCGCGACCTCGCTGGCTTCAATGCTGCGCTCGGTTACGCAAAGGAGGCCCAGAAGGATATGCCCAAGGTTGAGATGGGCACCGAGAACGCCGGTGTTGGTCTGCTCGTCAACCCTGGTGTCAACGTTCCCAAGGACTCGGCCGCCGCTGGCACCCCACCTGCTGAGAAGAAGACCAAGCGTGACGAGGTTGTCGAGGAGGAGGATGCGCCTAAGATGACTCTTGTTGCCATCACCGAAGTTTGAGCAAGATACTCGACTTTGCAGACATTTCAGCTAGCCCAGAACGAGGCCTTTCACGCGCCATGGGGGATGAGGCTATAATCAGCAATCTTGTCAGTTCTGTTCAGCACGATTTATTTTTCTTTCAGCGAACATCGGCAGGATCCCGCGTGCTGTGCGGACCGGAAGATGAGGAGTTCTTGGGTACACACAACGGTATTGATGTATGGATGGACGAATGAGTCAACCGAAGATGATTACAAAAGTCGCAAGATTTCAATAAATTACTATTTGATCAGTTTCCGTTTCCGCTCAAATATCCATTGCTAACAATTCTTCTTCGATAGCTAACTCTCGACGCGGGTTACAAGTAATCGTTCACCGGCGGACGTGCTAAGTGGTCCTTTGCGAAGCAAGGTATCGGCCATCTTGACCATCCAATACAACTGCTTCCTGGAAGCCATTGACGCCGCATCCGCGGTACCCGTCTTGAACGTTTTAGCCGCGACGCCGCAGACTTCTGACATTCGGCAAAACAGGAACCCAAGTCACAGCAAAGTCTCAGCAACGCCTTACAGCTCTTGGCAGCATTCCCTCGATTCAGGGTTCGGGGTTACCGGAGCGGAACGTGAAACAGCACCCTGTAGATTGGCCTGTGCGGTGGGTGGGTCGCCATGCAGCTAAGGTGCAAGTCAATTGATGTCTTGCGAATATAGCTCGTCAATTAGTATTATCGGGTTGAGTTCCTGCATAACAAGGTCGTTGGGCGGACGCTGTGTTGCTTATGTGACGTAGTGAACTGGGTTGAACCGCTACGATGCTCCTTGAAAATCTCCAAACCTAGCACGAAAAGTCGGCACCTTCAACTTCATTGTTAGAGAAGTCGAGAGAAGAGCGGATCATTAACCCATACATATATAGCTATGTGGCTTCGCTGCCTGTCCTAGGTGTTAGCTGATATACATAACCCATTACCCTGAAGAAAGAGCCATCTCATGTTGTTATTGGTACCTGGCACATGCACTAGTGTACTGCCTATATGGCGAAGTCATTCTTAGAACTGATCCATCACTCTTATACTCCAACAGACCCGAGCTGCATGACGGCGTTAGCTACATATGCTGATAGTGGTAGATGGCAGTGCACGAAGTCAGATCAGCATCAATCCTGTTCGAGACTCCCATCCCTCGTCCGTGTAGCTTTTAAATCTCTCTCTTTCTCTCCACGAGCGGATCCAAGGTCGCGAAGACTTTCTGTACCGTCCACGAGTGCGCTCCAAGATACCAACCCGCTCGTACCTGCCTCCATCAACCAGTTGGAATACAAGTGACGCAGCAAGCGACCCCCCACTTCGAGTTTCACTTAGAGCTGCGTCATCTCGCTTGATGTCAAAATCTCCAATACAGAGAAAGTTGTATTTCACGACCTGCGAATCAAGTGCGAGTGCGTGCTTTGCGGCAGCTCCTACGCTGATATCGTAGTCTGGAACGAAGATGGCACTGTCTCCTAGAAACTCAACCTTCAGGCGTCGACGAGATTGGGTCTTATCTTCGGACAAATCCAACTCGAACGCAAGATTTGCGGTCTTAGCATTAACCTCTAAGAATCCATGCGTTACTTCGCCGAAGGGATTGACATTCGTGACTGGATCGCAAAGCGCACGGACGACTGAGAATTCTCGATCAAGTGATATCCTTCTGTAGTATTTGACTTTCCAATCAATTGACGCCCATGACCAACTTGGCGCTCTGTACTGTGACCTGTGCTGGTCACATTCCAGTAAATGGTCTGTGCGCCATAGCAGGTCAGACGGTAGGTGAGTTTGCCAAAGTCCTGCTAGGTATCTGGCGTGCAGGAGCTCTCCAATTTGGCTAGCTACACCAGCTATAGCTGGTAAGCGATCGCTTTGTTCAGTCAAATCCATGCCAGAGTAGTCGTTAATGACGTGTCTCCATCCCCAGATAATGTCGTCGCAGGGTTCTAACATAGAGTTGTCTTCTACTTCGCTGTCATGAGCACATTGAAGTGTATAGTGATAAGCCGAATAGGTATGGTCGTATAGAGAGTCAGCTCTATGCAGACGATGCCTTTCATGTCCAAAGTTCGAGAGCCACCGAGGCGAGGGTTTTTCGTTATCAAACCCTTCAGCATCACTGGCTTTCTCTGAAGAAGCGGCTTCGGTAACAGCGCGGGCTTCATTGCTTATGTTGACGTCAGATGTAGCAATGATTTCAGTTCTGTGCTCAGCAGATCCGTTATGACGAAATAATTCCGAGTACTTCTCCTTGAGTCGTATCGTAGGGCTATAGCAGGAGCACTGACAAGTGCTGGACTCTTGACATTCCCAGACAAGCTCTTTTTCGCAGAATTGGAGGATTCTAGGTGAGAGTAATCTCTCCTGACACACCCATCCACGTTTTAGGAGAGGTGTTACCGCACCCTGCTCGCCGATGTGTGCTATCTTTTCACGAACATAAAGATCTGTTGCTACCATGGTTGCATCCGGCTGTTTTGCTAGAAGTCGATGGTCTTGATGATGGAGTGAAACCTCTGAGTAGCATCCTCTACCTTTGCCATCTGATTGGGTGGCAGCGATGGTAATGTGTGAGTTTGCGTAGATTGAACTCATCTTGGCTAATTCTAGCCACTTATCATCCACGTCGTCTTGAACGATACACAAAGAGTCGATCCATATGTATCGGATACCCAAGTCGTGCGCAACAAGTATCGCGTCTTTGAAGGTTTTCGGTAATAAATCCCACTCTATGCCGTTTTCATGCAAAGTCAGATTTGACCGCTTTGTCTCCAAGACTGCAGGTTTGCTCCAACGGTGACTAAGGCATGCATATTGTGCCTCTGCACCTTTCGCATGAAACAATCTGACGCTCAATCTACCTTCTCTTTCAGGTCTAATCTCGAGCACTCTAGAGGGAAGTTTCGGCACGATTCGTCCACCACAAGACTTGTGCGAATCTATACATTCTTGCAATTGTCGCTTCGCCCAGTCCATTGAAACAGGCGCTCGAGTATCTCCAGGGATCGTGGGTAGCATCCTCGCTCCTTTTAAAGGGCTGCTTTTGCCTTTTGTGACGAAGAATTCCAGGCGAAGCTTGAGCGCACCATCACTGAAGATCTCCATCTCTACGGAACCACCACCATCAACGTTATCGCCCCAGATATACATGCGATCAAGGTCCTTGAGCTCTCCAAGTTTAGGTTCAAAGTGACGAGATCCTGCTAGCAGGAGCCAGCATTGAACACATCCATCGCTTGCCGACCGAACCAACTCCGCTTGGCTGCAGTCAAAAGTGAAGCGAAACTGACGCGGGTTGCGCTGAAAGTTGTTACAAAGACCACACTTCTTTGCCTCCTCCATTCGCATGCGAGTCCTCAGTGACATGGTTTGACGTGAATGTAATGGATACTGTGACATTAGCAGATTCAGTGCTGAAGAGTAGAGTGGGCGATGTGCTGTCAGTCAGCTGAAGGTTCAGCCGCAGCTCATCACCCCGCTTCTAAAGTCCTGCAGCCACCGTACGACACGGTAAGGCTGAGTTCAGCTTCCAATCGCATACAATCATATCTTGGAAACAGACAGATTTCATGCTTCACCATGGTCCTTCGCCGCCACGTCTAGCCTTGTGAACGCCTCGTATCTGGGCTACTCGGATAAGGTCGGGTCAAAAGGCGCGAAGCTGCCACCAAGCTGTCTGTTAGCACATCAGAACGACAGCCTCTTTGGACAGGTGGTCCATGGCGATGCCCGATTATTCGATTCAACATGTGGGTGGTGGCAAAGAACATGTGCAGTAAGAAGATTTGAAGAGCCTTGCCAGCTGCAGCCACCAGACTTCAGACACGCTAGCAAGGGTCTTCTGACATCATTATGTGGGCCAAGGATGTGGGCTAGCAATGCGCATCTCATCGTATAGCTGGAGAACCTACAAGGTGGGAAGGCTAGTCACAGTTGAGGCTTCACTTGTACTAGGAAATGGAGTCATGGAGGTCGAAGCTGCAAATGTCGGTACTAGGAAAACCCATCAAGCCAAGTGGTATCGACCAGATTTCAAGCTCGAAGTAAGTGGACACGAGCAGCTTCAAAAAGACTTGCATTAAGATCACTGCCGTCTAACTAATTGGCCAAACGTCATAAGCAAGACTCTACTATCAAGTCCAGTGGGAATAATCTCCGTCGTCACGCTGGTTGACTTTGCCATATGTATAGCTACGAGTACCACGATACTCGGGCGGACAGTTCAGTGACTTCCTGTTCCTCGTTTCGGCGCCAGGATCACATCCGATTGGATTCCAGTCGGGCTCACAATCGTCAACCTCAATCCACGCATGGCGTGGTTCACTGAGCTCTGTGCGAGTATTGAAGCAGTGATTCCAGAGGCAGGAAGTGTATGGAGCAATCTTGTCTGCGTTCCAGTTGTGGAGCTTGGCGATCTCTTTCTTAAACGCATCCTGTCTCTTGCCACCCAAGAGATAGTAGTCGTTGAGAAAGGGTCTGCTCACCCAGTCCCTGATGGTGTTCGACTGCGTAATCTCGTCGCATTTGTATTTGCCCTGGTCTGTTGGGCGATCCCACTCGAGCGTCAGCTTCAGTAGTGACTGCATCGGGCCTCCGTTGATGGGGTAAGCGATCATGACTTGGCTTGCGACGTTGCAGAACCAGAGACCTCTGCCACCGCCTTGACCTTCGTCGAAATCAGCTTTATGACAATTACGCGGAGTCTCGGTCATCTTCTGGAATGCCCTGGCCATCATGCGAAACTATTCGTATGTTAGCCTTTGGTCTCAGACCATCAGAACATGCTTGTACTTACTGTAAGATCCTCTAGACCTCCTGGCTGTGTGCCTCCTATCCGCGTGTTGATAGTCGAAACCAGAATGTTCATATAGAGTTTCGAGTCTGTGGCATACTTCCCATCTTTGCTGTAAACGACATTATGGATGGCGCAATCATCCAAACTACTACCATGTTTGCAGCGTTTCAGAACCTCGTAGATGCGATTGTACAATCGTTCTCCGCCGAAGGTTCCAACGTGGGTGCCCATAAGGCCCATGCGGATGTCGATCCGATACCAGCCTTTCAGGTGCTTCATACCGTTCTGACTGGTAAGAGTCTCGACATCGTTACCACTCGAAGCGCTGATGTCCGAGTAAGAGATGTTTGGCCATGTCGTATTCGACCCAGTGATAGTATGCAACTCCGCAATCAGGTCATCGTCTGTCGGGTCCTTGTTGGGGTATCCACTGTCGCTGGCCTGCGAGGGAGCGCTGTCGACTCTCGATGCGTCGTAAGCGTCTATCGCCGGGGTAGAAGATGTCACTTGGCGTTGTTAGTAACGCGATCGCGAGCTTGTTGTGTGAACTCACCAAGGTTGGAAGTTGTCTGGGCGTCTGGTGACGAGGATGCAAGAGCGAAGGCCGCCAACAAGGCCGAGAGGAGAAAGAAAGCACCCTTCATTCTTGCGATCGCAGCGTGTGCCGTTGATTAGCAACGATGGCAGGTGGATTGCTGTCAGAGTTGAAAAGGTAAGTGCGAGTGGTGTGAGAGGTGCTTTGAAGGCGGGGAGCATGAAAATATATACTACCAAGGTATCAGTCGAGGCTGAGTGTGATTCCGAGCGCCATTGAGAATTCCAGGCAGTAATTGGTGGTGCGGTCAGTGAGCACCTGAAAAGGGAAGGTGCGGGGCGTGGTAGTGGGAGACGGTAGGCGCGACTTAAGTGAAGGAGATTCAGCGAGCGCACAACACGTCTGACTTGCTACAAGATTCTGCACGAATTACATGTTGCCGTATGTGTCGTGTGGTGGTATAAGAAGGAAATCCTCATGCGCTGTTCGAGATAGGTATGGGATTCATGTGCGTTTCTAGGCTACGCTCTCTCAGACGAGATTAGTAGGCCTAAGTCCAGTAGCTGTCAATACTCGGCAGAAACACCTGAGCCCATATATGAACCCATTGCTATCATCGCAATCTGTGCATGTCAGACTGCTTGCTAATTGTTACCTAGCGATTTAGTCGTTGACCACCTCACAGATTGTCCAGAACTCTTTCTTCGACTACGCGCAACCGATCAAGCATTAGGTGTACGGAACGGAACCAATATTGTTCGTGAGTCGCGGCGTGACATCAAATGAGGGACGCAGGCAACCGAGCGATCTCGAGAGTTGTAAAGGTTGTCAAAGACGCGACGCGAAAGAAGGCTGGTGAGCCCAGCTTATGTCATCACTCGTCAGGCCTCGGCATGACCTCCGACGCCTATCTTCTCCTCTTCTACGACGCTCACCAATCGCGTTCGGTAACACGCGCAGCATACATGTCTAGCATGCTACCTAGCACTATACCCGGCGGGGAAACCGCTGTCCTTGTTTCACTACCATCGACACTACCATCGCCTGCTAATCCACAGCACTTACCATGTCTCCAGCTCGTCTATCAACTCAATCGCTCTTACGCGTCTCAGGGCCATTCGCACCCCGCCCTCGATGGTTCCAGTCACCGTTGAGTCGCGCGCTCGCGACCTCGTCTAGGTATCAGCAAGCTTCTGTCGCAACAGGCATACGTGTAGATCACGCCGAAAGTAATGACAACCGTACCGTAGCAGCAATGGGCCGCACCAAGTCAGGTAAAGCCCTCAAAGTTCGCAAATACCCCACCTTTACACGCCTCGAGGACGAACGTCTCTACCGAAAACAGCATCTCGCAGCCGCCTACCGCATCTTCGCCTCACGTGGCTTCGACGAAGGGGTCGCCGGTCATATTAGTGTGCGCGACCCTATCCTGACGGACCATTTCTGGCTCAACCCGCTGTCTGCGCATTTCTCTCTGATACGCGTGTCAGATCTTATACTGGTGAATGAGGAAGGAGAAGTGGTGGAAGGTGATCAGCCGATCAATGCGGCGGCTTTTGCTATTCACAGCGCCATACACAAACGGCGGCCAGATGTAGATGCGGCGTGCCATGCGCATAGTGTGCATGGCAAGGCCTTCAGCGCATTTGGCAGGGAATTGGATATGATAACACAGGACAGTATACGTTTCTACAAGAGCCATGGCGTGTACAACCAATTCGGTGGTGTTGTGCTGGCCAGTGAAGAAGGCGAGAGGATAGCCGATGCGCTGGGTACGATACTTCTCCATTCCCTCAAACATCATACCGTTCAATTACTAAATACCTCGACAGGCGACGGCAAAGCAGCCATCCTCCAAAATCACGGCATTCTCACCGTAGGCAAAACCGTCGATGAAGCAGCTTTCTGGTTCCTCTCCCTCGATAAGACGTGCCAAGCACAACTCCTAGTCGATGCAGCCTCGGCTGGAAGTGGACACAAGCCCAAGATCATTTCGGACAGTGAGGCAGCCGAAACATACAAGAATGTTGGAACACCGGAGAAGGGGTGGCTGGCATTTCAGAGCTACTATGACGAGGTTCTTGCTAAGACTGGGGGCGACTTTTTACAGTGAAACGAACAATGTCTTTTGTCCACATAAGGTTGGCGTTGAGCGTGGTTCAACCGCTGCAATCATGGGACTTCTCCCGGGAGTTGGTTTTGTCTCTCTCGCGAGTACTTGCTTCCGAGCCATCTTTTCCCGAGAGACTAGCCTCTATGATTTTGAGACATCAACCACATCGGGCTCTGTGACCAATGAGGCCGTCTGATCGACTGAGACCTGCAGCGTCGTACTTGTCGTTCAAGTTGCCGTAGGGCAACTTTTCTCGGGATACGGAACTCCTCTCTTGACTGCAATACGTCTCACGAACTAAAAAGTGTTCTCCGCCAGGTCTGTGAGTACACTGGCCTGTCCTGCGATTGACTTGAGTAGACCACAGCAACTTCTTCGCGATATGAGCTCTACAGCTTCCAGAGCACTCGCCGAAGTTTGCATTGATGTTGCTGCATTATAAAGCGTCGCACTGGACAATACAAGATCAAGAAATCGAGCCTCGTAGGATCGCGATACAAGGGAGCTCCAGAGTAACCACACGATCAGCCTGATGGCCATAGCCTGGGGGCGATCAGACGCTACCACTGCATTGCAACGAGAAGTTACTAAGTTGTTATAATTATCGGTGATGAAATTGGTGTAACGGTTGCTTTACCAGACATGGAGCACACTGACCGAACTAAACCTTGGACGTCAGATACTGAACCATCGACCACTCAGCGATTACACCAACAAGGCCTCGTTCTGCTTGGCGCGGATGGTTTCTCGATGAGATTCGTAGTTCTGGTCTCACAAGCACTGTTCAATGGGTTGAAGGTGTTTTGCCACCCGCACCGGAACCCAGCGGAATGCCAGGATGCATCTCACTAAGCTTTTCTGGAACAACCAAATGCTTCCATATGTAAGCTTTTCCAGGAGCCATGCTTGTCAGCAAACCAACAATGACGTCGAATATCGCGATGACCGGACATACCTCGGATGATCAGGTTGCGCAATCACCATGAGGTGCTTCGGGCAGAGCCTCCATGTTGAGACTACAAGGCCGATATCCAGGGACACGAGACTTAAAAATACCAATTGACCAGTAGGGAAAAGCTCGGCGGCAGTCACGATTACACCCATCCGCAGTGTCCCTTGCCTTTGAGCGTGGTTTGTCGAATCATCATCAGTCGCGTGATATCCAGGTAAACCGAGCGACGAGGATTACCATCATCCGCAACCTTCCGCCCCACAGTCCTCTCCAGCATCTTCCAGTCCCTCGTCAGCTTCTGCTCGATCTCGTGCCCATGGGGTACAACGGGATGCAGTCAGCCTGGAATCTTATGGTTCCGTTGCCGAAGATTCGTCGAGTTTATAAGGTGAGGCAGTCATGCGACTTGATGCCTGTCACTTCAGTGGTTACTTGAGCCTCAGTGGTTACTTGAGCCTCAGTGGTTACTTGAGCCTCCTACTATTCACCAAAGTTTACCGCAACAATGGACAAGATCAAGTCGAAACTAACCAACCCGATCAAAGACTGGCGACGCAGAAGCTCTGTTGATGTTGGCGAACATGAGGGCTATGATAACACACCGCTCCCGAGATTGACATGGAAGGGGTTCTGGATGGGCATGTTGGTATCGATGGGTGGATTTGTCTTTGGGTAAGTTGCTTCCACTACTACCACTTTCCTCCAACTCACGCTGTTAGTTATGATACCGGTCAAATCTCTGGATTTCTTAGCATGGTGGACTTCCTCAGACGCTTCGGCCAGAGACATGATGATGGCACGCCATACTTTTCTAATGTACGCTCCGGATTGATAGTCGGTTTGCTGTCTATCGGTACGTTGTTCGGCGCATTGATTGCAGCGCCGATTGCGGACTGGATTGGAAGGAAGATGAGTATCATCTGGTGGTGTGGCATCTTTTCCGTTGGCATCATTGTGCAGATCGCAGCAACAGATGAGTGGTACCAGGTTATGATGGGCCGATTTGTTGCCGGTCTTGGTGTTGGTGCGCTGAGTTTACTCGTGCCTATGTACCAGGTAAGAAAAATGCCCCCGACGATGCGTAGCCACTACTGACAACATCTAGGCGGAGACGGCACCTCGACACATTCGCGGTGCGCTAATTTCTACTTATCAACTATTCATCACATTCGGTATCTTCCTCGCCGCGGTGTTTAACTACGCTGCCGAGCGCCATCAGTCCGGCAAGGCGGCCTCGTGGCAAATCACTCTCGGTCTGTCCTTCGTGCCTGCCGCTATCCTCGCTGTTGGTATATTAGCCTTTTCAGAGACACCTCGATTCAATTACCGAAATGGTAAGATCGATGAGGCTACTGCGACCATGTCGCGGGTATACGGCGTGCCAACCAACCATCATAGCATTCAGCTAGAGCTCGAGGAGATGAGGCTCAAGCTTGAAGCCGAAAGCAAGATTACCAACGGGCCGATCCAGGAATGGCTGGGTATGTGGATGGCGCCGAAGATGGCGTACCGGTTGGCGATTGGCATGGGACTGCAAATGTTTCAACAGTTGACAGGTGCAAACTACTTGTAAGACACCATTCCGGGCTTGTTGAGTAAACGCTGACCTTGCAAAGCTTCTACTACGGCACTGTCGTCTTCGCTGGCACCGGTATCAAGAACTCGTTCGTTACGCAGATGATCTTGGTATGCAAGCTCCCCCTGCGAAGGCCATCCGCGAATGTGCTAACATCTCTCAGAACGGTATCAACTTTGGCGTAACCTTCTATGGCCTCTACATTGTCGAACACTACGGTCGACGCAAATCGCTCATCGCCGGCTCAGTCTGGATGTTCATCTGCTTCCTCATCTTCGCCTCTGTCGGCCACTTCGCGCTCGACCGCGACAACCCGGAGAATACCGAGAGTGCTGCCACAGCTATGATTTGCTTTGCCTGCTTCTTCATCTTTGGTTTCGCAACAACGTGGGGTCCAATGATGTAAGTCATCTTCCTGCTTCACGATCCGTTCCACCCTACTAACATGACCACCCAGTTGGACAATCTGTGGAGAACTATATCCTAGCCGCTACCGCGCAAAGGCAATGGCTCTATCGACGGCATCGAACTGGCTCTGGAACTTCCTCCTCGCCTTCTTCACACCTTTCATCACCGGCGCCATCGACTTCCGCTACGGCTACGTGTTTGCCGGAACTAACATCCTCGGCGGCCTCATCGTGTACTTCTTCGTCATCGAGGGCCAGGGTCGCACGCTCGAAGAGATCGACACCATGTACTTGATGGGCGTGAAGCCGTGGGAGAGCGCGAAATGGGTCGTTCCTAGCTTGGACGAGATGAGTGGGGACGTGAGACAGAAGCTTGAGGCGGCGAACCCGGAGCTGGCGCTTCAGAAAGAGACTAATGGGGGTGTGCATGCTGAGGATGGTGGAGCGAGGGGTGAGGAGGATGAGGCGATTCGTAGGAGTGTTATGAGGGATGGGAGTGATGAGGGACTCAGGGAGAAGTCCGAGACCGATGTTTAATCGAATCTCTGGGCATGAGGTGGTTGTTTGGATTACCTGGGTGAAGCAGGTTAATTCTCTACTGGCTGGCATACATAATAAAGCTCTAATATCCAAATCTCTGTCTTTTGTTCTCTAAGTCCTGGGTTCGGGTTTGCTTTCCCTAACTCAATCGTTGATCGCAAGGTGCCGACTGATAAACGCGAGCGTGCCGTGAAAGCCTTGTATGGTAAGGTTTGATCAGTCCAAGACCCCAAACAGGATAGCGTTTGCGCAAATAAGCCGCTCACGTCAGCCTTGTAGGCGCTAAGGATCTGTGTTGTAGTTCAGGATGTCAGATCTGCCAGTGTAGAAGCTACATCGCGGTACACTCATTATTCGAGTCAGCGGAGATTAACAGTAAGGGCAGCTAGCTACCATACCCAGCATCTACAACCTAGTAGGGAACAGTTCCGGCGAATGAACTACGTTCACAAACATCAGCGCGATTCTGCAAAGACGAAGGAATAGCACTCTTCGGGGACTTCGACCTACATTACCCAACGTAGTAAGACCCAGAAACCAGGATTACGGACCCAGAATCTGAAGAGCTCATCACGACGATGGGAGGCTGTGGCCCGAGCAACGCTCTCCTACCCAGCACTATCACATTCGAAGAGCTAACACCGTAGTTCCTACGATGCTCCGACAGGTCCCTAGTGGCTGGCCCACCCGTGGCTAAACCTTGTGGCTGTGAAACATCGTGGCAGATCGGGCGTTGACCCGTCCCGGGCATTAAGCGGTCAAGCTCGGTAAGTTTTGATGGGGCAGATTGAGCATATACCTGTACGAGGCACATGACCGTCCGCCACGGTACGTCATCGAGTCTTGGAGCTGTGAAGTCCATATGTCGCCGTTCCCAACTACTATTTTAACTATTCTACCTCGTACCAGTGGATTTTATCGCATGTTCTAGCTCTTGTCTCACTCAGTGCTCTGATCCGTCTCACGCGGACTGCTTATCTCATAGCCTTTCATGAATAGGCTTGCAATGAGCGCGATCCCTGAGAATACTGCCACTACAACCCAGATGTGCATGAGTGCGTAGACGAAACTTTCCTTCAGCTGCACCTTCATCTCATTATCCGGCATTGCTTTGATAATCTGAACCAATCCAACTGCATCCTTAGAGTACTCCTTAGCTCTGTCGGATAGGAGCGGTATTGACAACATCTTCTTTTCTAACATGCTTTGAAAGATGATGCCGCCGATTGTTACCCCAAAGGTCTGACCAAGAGCTCTCAAGAATGTGAACATATTGGTTGCAAAAGCCTGATTTTCCACCGATGTAGATGCCTGAACACCAATCATCATTGCTGGATAAAGGGTACCCATCCCAATACCACCAATAAGGCTGATCGAGACCCATACTGCAGATGAAGTATCGGCCCTGAGTAAGACGAGAAGGCTCATACCAGCTACCGAGAAGCACCATCCCAACCAATTAGCCCATATGTATTTTCCTGTTTTCGATATAACGATACCAGTAATCTGTTACATGGTCAGTACACTATAGCAATGCTTCTGAGGTATATTAACATACCATAGCACATGGAGCAAGAGTCAAGGTCCAAGGAAAAATGGCCACCCCAGCCATGACAGGTGACATACCCTTCACTGCCTCGAAATACAATGGTAGGTAGAAGAGAACTGCTGAGAGAATGAGACCGTATAGTACCGTCAGCGTGAGAACGATCGCTGCAGATCGGTTCTTGAAAACACTTGTACGAATGAAGGGGTTCTTTGCCACATACTCCTGGTGTGCAGCAAGCGCTAAAAGGCCAGCAGTACAAATGAGCAGCGGTACAAGTGTATGCCACGAGCTCCACGGGTATTCGATGCCACCACGGCTGATTGAAATAAGAAATCCTGTCGTTGATGAAAGAAAGAGACTCATTCCAGCCCAATCTAGATCTCTCAACTTTCTTACAAAGGATCCATCTCTCTCGTCGACTGTTAGAAATATCGCGATCGATATTCCACCGATACCGATAAAAGGAAGATTGATCCAGAAAATCCAGCGCCACAACGTTTCCGTTGCTAACGCGCCACCTAAAATTTATTTTATCAACGATGTCCAGAACAGGGATGGAATACAACCCACCAAGCAAAGGGCCAGAGACGGTGCCGACTGACCACATGGCGCCAAGCAAACTAAGCCACTTTCCCCGCTCTCGTAGAGAAATCTTGTCAACGACTATCAATGCCGTGACACATATAATGCCGCCTCCACCTGCACCCTGAATAGTACGACCTATGAGTATGGTGGTGAAGTTGACAGACGCTGCGATTACAACTGAGCCTACCAAAAACAGCAATAGGCTGAAATGAATTAACCATTTTCTCCCGAATATGCCCGAAAGCGACCCCAGAATTGGTTGGAAAATTGTTGATGCAAGAAGAAACGAAGTGCCACTCCAGAATGCCTCGACAGCGGAGCCTGCCACAGTTTTCGTGATTACCTTTGCTTTTTCAGTTGTCGCTCAAGAGGACTAGAAGCAAAAACGATTCCGTTTGAGTGGTGAGACTTACTGGTAGTGCTACTGCCAACGATGTAGCATCGAGAGCAACCATGAGCATGATGACACAGAGACTCCCGAATGCAGCAATCAGATATCGTCTAGATTGAACTTCGGCTTGTGTAGGAGTATCTTGTGAAGGAGTTCGAGGGACATCCCTAACGAAGGTAGTGTTTTTCCTACCCATATTAAAGAGCTATGGGAAAAATGCTGTCAGATAAAGGTTACACAAGTACGTGTACGAAGAGAAACAGTAATAACCTGAAACATGTAAATGAGCATGTATTTAGAATGTAGTGAACATAACATTTGTATCAACCTTGCATCAAATGATTATGTTCGTCCTAAATGAAAAGTTTGTTGTAAGGTCTGGGCGTACATGAATCTAAAAAGAAACATGTGCTGCATGAGGCGCCATGGTTGAGAACGACTGTTAAAAAGCACAAGCTAGCCGCCCGCCATATCGATACACTCGTATCCACCCACGGTCTAACTGCTGCTCTTCAAATCGTGGCGATCACAACGAGGCTTTACATATACTCTCGATTATTTTGCTCAATACATGTGTTGCAAGTCTTCATCTGCTAACCAATAGGTTATGTGTTTATTCTGTGGTATCACCTTAGATTTCCGTATAGAAATTCCGCCAAAACCTACATGACGAGGTGGAACTTGAGGAACATGTTCCAGGCTAATGCCTTAGTGGAGAAGCTGGACGCTTGGCATTGATGATCGGTGTGCTTAGAAAGCAGGTTGCATTCTCCACATTCTTTGCCGGGCCGCGGGGTTGCGTTAGTGAGTTATCCATTCTGCTCATTGTATTATAGCCGTCCATCGGATGCCAGTATTTAGGCTTTTGACATACTCTTCAAAGAAGTTGTAGCCCAGGCCAAAGAAACGTCCAGTCTCAGTTTTGGTGGCTATCCCATCAAAATCAAGACAGGTCTCTTCATTAGCTCGAGATCCTTTACTGGTACCTGGCTTCAACCCTCCAATTGCTAAAGAGCTACAATATCATAAGCAACACGGAGTATTCCGTTAGGGCAAAGCGAAGAGCTTTGATAACTAGCCTTCTTAGTAATAGTAAATTGTAGCAAGCAAATACAAACGGGGTCATGGTCGATGGTGGTTCTCTCACATCTAAAGCTGTCGACTGCGTCAGATCGACAAAGCCATTGTTATGCACACCACTCGCCTAACCGATTCTTACGATTCTTCCATACTCCTAATCGCCTATCTCAGGAGATGCGCTCTGATCACTAGAAAGCGAGACCCAAGTAACAGCCCTGTAGCACATAAATTCTTGCACAGCATAGACATAAATATACAGATCCTACTGCCGAGTTGCAGAATTCCCGTGGACGACAGGAAAACTCAATTCGTCACGGCGGGCTCTTTCTCATTTACTTTCTTCTTTCGGCCCCCCCTCAGCTAAGCATGCTATTGAGGTTGTGTCACGGCGGACTCTTTTTCTTCTCTATTATTCTTTCGGCCCCCCCTTCGGCTAGACATGCCATCAAGGTTGGGCTACGGGAAAAAGTACTGCTTGAGTTGTCAGCTTATGGCTGTCCTCTGGAGTAGTTAAATGCTGCAGTGATATCATTTGATTTACATTTCCTGCTTTCCTGTAGGAACCCAAATTATGCAAATTGCTCACTTTTAAGGTTATCAATTACGTCAAGAGCTATTCACCTTTGAAAGCATCACCATGGAAAAATCACCCGAGCCGATCGCCATTTGTGGCATGGCTCTTCGCTTACCAGGCGCGCTCAAAACACCCGATCAGTTTTGGACACTGCTCACTGAAAAGAGAGACGCTCGTGCGCGTATCCCTATCGAACGCTTCGACGCCGAGGCATTCCATTCGGTCTCGGGAAAGTCAGGCTTCATCAACTCGCAATATGGCTACTTTCTCGATGAAAGTGCTGAAGTGGGCGCCATCGATAATTCTTTGTTTCGCATGTCGCAACAAGAGTCTCAAAGCATGGATCCTCAGCAGAAACTCCTTCTTGAACTTGCAAGAGAGTGCTTCGAAAGCGCAGGGGAGGTCGACTGGCGCGGAAAAGATTTCGGGACATATATTGGATCCTTCGGAAACGATTGGGCAGAGGTAGTCACGAAAGATCCTTTGATGAAAAGCATGTATAAGATTACTGGCCACGGCGACTTTATGCTTGCAAATCGAATAGCTTACGAGTACGACCTTAAGGGTCCAAGCATGACTGTGCGGACAGGATGCTCGGCATCCCTCATTGGATTGCACGAAGCGTGCGTTGCTATTCGAAACGGAGATTGCAGCGCAGCTCTGGTTGGTGGATGTAATTTGCTTTGGAGTCCTGACACTATGTCCGATATGTCAGAACAAGGTGTTCTCTCACTTAACTCGTCTTGCCGAACATTCGATGCAGATGCAGACGGGTACGCTCGCGGGGAAGCTATCAACATGATCTACATCAAGCCGTTAAGTGCTGCTATCAAGGACAAGAATCCTGTTCGAGCCATCATCCGTGGTTCTGCTACGAACGCAGATGGGAAGACGGCGGGATTAAGCCTACCCAGTTCGTCAAGTCAGGAGGAGATGATTCGCAAGGCGTACCACGCTGCCGGGATTCCAGAATCTGACATCAACCGGACTGCATTCGTGGAATGTCATGGAACCTCTACCCCCACCGGCGACCCCATCGAGGCATTAGCAGTGGGAAATGTGTTTGGGAATAGTGGTGTGTACATTGGGTCAGTTAAGCCAAACGTGGGTCATTCAGAGGGTGCTTCAGGAATTACATCCATCATCAAAGCGGTTTTGGCTTTGGAGAACCGCATCATACCACCAAACATCAAATTCAAGACTCCAAATCCGAAGATTGCATTCGTCGAAAAGGATCTGAAGGTTCCAGTTGATTGCGTCACATGGCCTGAAGACAAACTCGAACGAATCTCGGTCAACAGCTTTGGCATAGGTGGTGCAAATGCTCATGTTATCCTCGAATCTGCCGCTGGATATGCCTCATCCCAGGAAACTTTATGCGGCAACTCTTCTCGAAAGGAGCATTGCACCCACGCTGTAGAAATCTCCCACAAAAAATCTCCGGATGTGACCAGCTTGGAGCGAGAGATTTCGCCTCTTGACCCAGATTCGACGGGATCTCTTGAGTCGAGCAAATTGATCCTCATCACAGCAAACACATCAGAATCGCTGCAAAAGCAGATACAAAATCTCCAAGTCTATGGATTAACCAATAGTGAGAGTATTGATGACATCTCTTACACGTTAGCTTGCCGGCGCGAGCACCTCGCGCATCGCGCCTTTGCGGTTGTGCAAGACATGTCCGTCCATCCATATCCTGGTGTGTCTATCGCTGGAATTCCTCCGTCAAGACTGGCCATGATATTCACCGGTCAAGGCGCACAATGGCCACGTATGGGTGTTGAACTCTTACGGTCCAACGCTGCCTTTGCCTTTTCGATCGAAAATATGGACCGTGAGCTTAGCAATCTACCAGTGCCGCCTTCCTGGAGCATACGGGAGGAATTGGCAAAAGGCATCGACTCCAGTAATCTGGACCAAGCTGCAATTTCCCAGCCGTTGTGTACTGCTATACAAGTAGCCCTTGTAGACGCACTCGCTGATCTTGCAATTAGACCCCATTCTGTGCTTGGACATTCTTCAGGCGAGATAGCTGCAGCGTATGCGGCTGGCAGAATATCCCGTCGAGCAGCCATAATCATCGCATATTATCGAGGGATCGTATCACAAGCCGTGACGCGAAGTGGCGCGATGGCCGCAATTGGCTTGAGCTGGGATGAGGTGGCCGCACATCTTCCACGGGGTGCTGTACTTGCATGCAACAACTCGCCCGCGAACGTCACCATCTCTGGGGATAAGACAGCTGTACAAGAGGCAGTGGAAGCTATTCAAAACCGCAATCCCGAGGCTTTTGTGCGTATGTTGAAAGTGAACAAGGCGTACCATTCGCATCATATGCTCGACATTGGGGGCGAGTACCAGGAGATAACGGCATCCTTTCTGCAGGACGAAGTCCTTAAATCTGGAACATCCTTCGAAGTAGATTTCTACTCCAGCGTTACAGGAGGACTGTTACCAGCTTCCGAGCACGTTGATGCCCGATACTTTCGTCGCAATCTCGAGTCACCGGTACTTTTCTCACAGGCTTTCAATGGTCTCTTGACTGAAAGCAAACACGCTATAGACCGTACCTTTTGTCTTCTTGAGATAGGTCCTCACAGCGCGCTCTCAGGACCACTCCGGCAGATCCTAACCCAAAACTCACTCAACTGGCCATACGCGTCGTGCCTTCAACGGGAAAAAGACTCGGACAAGACATTTGTCTCAGCTCTGGGTACTCTCTGGCAGCACGGGCTGAATTTTGACCTGCATCGATTAACGAACCCGTCCAACGCTGCCAAGGTCCTTAAAGACATGCCGTTGTATCCCTGGCATCACGATGGGCCACACTTGCTTCACAATCGCATTGTTCAGGCTTGGCGATATCCAAGATTCCCGCATCATGAGCTTTTGGGGTCATTGATACTGGAGAACACGGAAGATCAACCAAGCTTCAGAAATGTACTCCAACTTGAACAAGTTCCTTGGTTACGAGACCACAATATCCATGGTGACGTGGTACTACCATGTGCGGCATACGTCGCTATGGCTGGTGAGGCCAATCGGCGACTGCACCTATCAGATCAGAGCAACAAGTTCCTTGGATTCTGTGTAAAGAACATGGTAATTGGCACTGCGATGATTCTAGAAGAGAACAGACCAGTCGAGATCATGACATCATTAAGAAGATGGAGAATCACGGATAATCTGGAGAGTAGTGGATGGGATTTCACAATCTCATCGTATTCGGGGACTGATTGGATCAAACACTGCTCAGGCTCCATCGAGGCCATCACTTCTTCACCCCCTTCTCTACCAATCACTGAGGACGTTCTTCCGCGTAAAACAGACGCTGCTAAATGGTATCAAGCCTTGTGGCATGTTGGAGCCAGGTATGGGCCTTTCTTCCAAGGATTAAAGAACATTGAGTGTACACCAAACGAGCAAGTTGCGAAGGCTATCGCTTGCGATAACACGCCGACTGAGTGTGAATCGCATTACTTGATCCATCCAACAACAGTCGATATTTTCTTCCAAACAACGGCATTAGCTGCATGCCATGGGAAAGGACATGCAATGGAGAGAATGAGTGTGCCCACATTCATCAAGCAGATGGACATCTATAACTGTCCAGGCGATCTCCAGGTGCATACCTCGGCACAATCCCTGGCACATGGCAAGATTCATGCCCAGGGCTACGCTATTGGCACCGATGGGTCTCTTGCCATGAGACTAGACAAGATCAAATTGACTCCACTGGATGCAACAAGTGAAACTGATCCTCATGCTGGAGCTTTGATGACCTGGGACTTGGAGCCTAGTTTCACGACCATGTCAGCATTAGTTGAGCATGACACTGAGGCAGCAAAAAACGGATCAATTATGCAGGAGTTCATCTCCCTACACATTCAGAAAGCACTAAAGCAAGTTCAAGACACGGAGCCTGCATCCGAAACGATGCGCAAGTATGTCGCTTGGATGAAGCGACAATCGATTCCCGATACGTTGCGATCGCTTGAGACTGTCACGTCCGAAGTTAAGGTTGGTTCAACTTCGTCGATCGCGCACGCGATAGAAAAGATCACCAACAACATCGTCAAGCTAGTGACGGATGAGATATCACCATTGGAGCTTCTTATGGCCGATGATTCCTTGGCTAAGATCTACGAAGACGCCAAGTCAACGAACCGAGCACCCTACATCAAACTTCTTGGACACCAGAAACCGAATATGCGCATTCTTGAGATTGGAGCTGGAACAGGTGGTACGACTCGCGAATTCCTTTCGGCTTTGGTGAATACTTCGGACGGAGGTAAATTGTGGTCCAGCTACACATACACCGACATCTCAGCAGGATTCTTCAGTACTGCAAATGAGAAATTCAAGGATTTTCCATCACTTGAGTTCAAGGTTCTTGATATCACGAAAAACCCAATCACGCAAGGGTTCCAGCGTCATCATTACGATCTTATCATCGCTACCAACGTTATACATGCAGTCCCTAATCTCCAGCAAGCTTTGCGTAACGTCCATACTTTGCTGCAGCAAGATGGAACATTTTACCTTGAAGAGCTTTGCTGTGATGTCAAAGGAATAAACCTCACCATGGGTATTCTTCCTGGGTGGTGGTTGGGCATGGACGATGGGCGTGCTGATGAGCCATATGTGCAGCCTGAGAGATGGAATCGTGAGCTTCGAGGGGCGGGTTTCGCAGGTGTAGTTGATTACATGTTGGATGCACCTCGGCCACACCAGACCCACGCATATATGATATCACACCCTATGGTTGAAGATGTCCTACCCAGACCTATTACTCTGCTGTTCGATGACAGCACAGAACATGTGGCCAGGAGTCTGGACATCGAATTGTCTCAAAATGGCGTGTTCGAAACTGTGCTCCAGCACTGGGACTCAGGGACAAAACTACCTAAACAAGACTTGATATGTTTGCTCGATGTCAACGAGCCATTCTTTGCGGGGATTGAGGCTTCTCAATTTGATAAGTTACGCCATATGCTGGCCCAAGTTTCGGAGTCTAAGGATGGCATTCTCTGGCTTACTCGCAGCTCTCAGCTCAGCTGTGAACATCCCCGGTGGGGTCAAACGCCCGGAGCTATGCGCACCATTCAAAAGGAAACAGAAACCGATATAGCAATCTGCGAGATTGATCGGCCGAACAATTCAAGTTGGAAGGCCGTGACAGAAATTGCGCAAAGGTTTTCTCGCCGGCATCTGTCGAGCCAAGATTTAGAGCTGGAGTACTCAATTGAGAATGGCAAGGTATACGTACCGCGAATTTACCCCTTGAACGTCAATTCGGAGCTGCGCAAGCCTTTGATCTGCCCTTCCACTACAGAGAGTGTCGAACTAGATCTAACACTCGGAGCGGCAGGCAGGCTTGATACGCTTCAATGGGCCACGCGTTCCCGCCAAAAGCCAGGCGATAGCCAAGTCGTGGTTGAAATCATGGCCACTGGACTTAACTTCCGGGTAAGATCCAGATACTGTTACATGCAGTCGTTAGAACTCGACAAAAGCTTACTGTTTTAGGATGTGCTGATCGCTATGGACCTCATCGAAGTACCATCTCAAGAGCTCGGATTGGAAGCTGCAGGAGTAATCCGGGCCGTTGGAGCAGGGGTTGAGGATCTAAGAATAGGTGACAGAGTTATAGTCATGGGTGGTACAAGTCTTTTCACGACAGAAGCGCTCGTACCCAGCATCAGTTGTTGGACGTTCCCAAGTTCTCTGTCCTTCCAAGAAGCTGCGACTATGCCTTGCGTACTTTTGACGGTCATACATGGACTGCTAGAAGTTGGTCAGATGCGCAGTAGTCAAACCGTCCTCATTCACTCCGCATGTGGCGGAGTTGGTCTTGCCGCAATTCAACTATGTCGGATGGTCGGGGCCACAATATACTGCACGGTCAGCACAGAAGAGAAGGCTAAGTTCCTGGAGAACGAGATGGGCATACCACAGCATCAGATCTTTGACTCGCGCAGTCGATCTTTCGTAACTGATGTCATGCTTGCCACCAGTGGCGTTGGAGTCGACATCGTGCTCAACTCACTTTCGGGTGAGCTTCTCCATGCATCTTGGGAATGCGTAGCGGAATTTGGAAAGATGATCGAAATCGGGAAGCGAGATCTGTTAGGGAATGGGCGCTTGTCCTTGAACCCTTTCGTTGAAAACAGGAGCTTTCATGGCGTCGATCTTGCACATCTTTGCGAGATTCGACCAACAGAGCGACGAAGGCTTTTGAAAAGGATGATCGAACTTTATGAGGAAGGGCATGTTAAACCCATCATCCCCATGAACATCTTTCAAATGGACGAGGCCGAGCAATGCTTCCGATACATGCAACAGGGTCGGCATATCGGTAAAGTCGTCCTTTCTATGGGAAATACAGGCAATCAGCCAACCGATTCCCTGAGCTTGGTGACGACATGTCCCAAGCGCAAGGCCACGTTCAAGTCAGAGGCCGCCTATCTGCTCGCAGGTGGGCTCGGTGGTCTAGGTCGCATTGTAGCTAATTGGATGATCGAACACGGAGCACGACACCTTGTTTTCCTTTCTCGAGGTGCCGGGGACAAAGAAACAGACCAAGCTTTCTTTAGAGAACTCGAAAGCCAAGGAACCAAAGTCACGGCAGTCAAAGGGAGCGTCGCCATCGCTAAAGATGTAGAGAAGGCTATTACAGCTGCGACTGCCCCTGTGTGTGGGGTAATGAACCTTTGCATGGAGTTACAAGATATGGGGTTCTACCAGATGACACATGCCGCGTGGAGCGCAGCAAATGATTCAAAACTCAACGGGACATGGAATTTGCACAACGTGTGTATCTCCAGAGGCATAACTCTCGATTTCTTTCTTCTCTTTAGCTCGATCTCGGGTCTCTTTGGTAATCTTGGACAAGCCAATTACGCGGCAGGAAACACTTTTCTCGATGCTTTCGTACAGTATCGGAATACTCTCGGTCTGAACGCTTCTGCCATCGATATTGGTCTGATGTACGACCACGGATATATCGCAGAGAATCCATTGGTGCTAGAGCGCACACGACTACAAGGAGGTTTTGGAATCCGCGTACCACAACTACTGGATGCTATCACGCTCATTTTGAGTACTCCTGCGGCTAAGTTGATAGACGGAACGTCACGAACGTGTAGGTCCTCAATCAGTATTGGCGTCAGGAGCCAAACGTCGTTGAAAGATCCTTCCAACCGCGTACTGTGGAAAAACGACCGGCGGATGGCATATTACAACAACCTCGACTCATCTTCTCAGCCTTCTTCTGCCTTGGGCTCTGGCGAGGATCCTCCTACCCGCGCAATCAAAGAATTCATCAACCAGGTCCTCGCTGAGCCAACGATTCTAACACAACCCGATACCCCTGTCTTTCTAGCACGACAAATTGCGAAGAAGATTGCGATCATGCTTCTTCGGCCGCTTGAAAACAAGGACGATAGTGAGATTAACATCTCTTGCTCACTACAGGACGCTGGTTTGGACAGTCTAGTTTCTATAGAGATGCGAAGCTGGTGGAGGATAACCTTTGGCTCTGAGATTACCATTCTGCAGATGCTCGGAGTCAAGAACGTAATGGCACTTGGCGAACGAGCGACTGAGGGGTTGAAAACTAAGTACACAGAAATCGAGACAAAGCTCCCCTCAAGAGCAGGTGTTTGATTATTACCTACCCTACCCTAGAGGATGTCCTTGATCTTAGTAGGATCAAGCTGTTTTGTTAGGAGCGATAAGGGAGCGATAAGAAACGAGGAGTGGGATCAAGGGAGTGGGATTAAGATTAGGGTTTCTTGGTATACAGCTAGCTATAGAAAATCTGAAGAAGCTATTTTGTGCAGCTTTACGCAAGGATTTCAGATCTTCACCCAGTTTACCGACAGCTGCTCTCGTTGCTAAAGTGTCCGCGTTGAAAGTTTTGTAGCATCCTAGCTTAGCTTATATAAAGGTCATCGCACGACGTTGTTAGTAACAAAGATTCCGACAGCGCTTGGCTTGCGGCATCGTTCGACGGATACACAGAAGCTGTTGGCCTTTATTAGTTTTATATAGTATGCTTGTTAGAGAAAGCTACCCTTGAGGCGACAGTCCAGCAGCAATTTGCTTCCCTTTAGCATCGTCTAGAAGGTGCGCTACATCCTTGTCGGCCATGTCGAACTCTCTTTCAATGAGGCTTCTGCGCTCCTTTGATCTCGGCTCAAAGACTGCAACGAATGGTTTTGGGCCGGACACAAACCCAGTTGTAAACATCTCTTCTGACACGGTGATCCTTACGCCATCTTTAGAGCGTATTTTGAACGCCCAAAGCAGTCTTGCCATCGCTATCGCTAGAGAGTTTCGTGCAATGAATCGTCCAGGGCAAACTCTTCGGCCGTATCCGAAGTTGCTGGGCTGAGACCTTTCAATCCATCGTTCAGGCCGGAACACTTCTGGTGAGTCAAAAGTGCTAGAGTTCTGGCGCATCGCGGCGAACACAGGAACCACGACCGAGCCCTTGGGTATCAAGTAACCTTTGTAAAAGTCGTCCTGAGTCGTAGCATGCGGAATCCCAGCTGGCACAATGTGCCTCCATCTGAAGTTTTCCTCTACCACAGCCTGAAGATAGGGCAGGTTACTCAGATCTTCGAATCCAGGAAGACGATTAGTACCGACGACTTCGTCAAGCTCTTTCTGAGCGGCGGCAATCCAATCCGGGTAGGCTACGCACGCCAAAATGAAGATCTGCAACTGAATTTGCGTGGTTTCGACGCCCGCATCACACAGAACACCAAGATCCCATGCTACCTCTGTCACAGCGAGATCTTTCGCCTCCTTTGACTTGTTGAATTCTTTGGCCCAGTTCCATCCCTTGCGCTTAAGGGCGTCTTCCATGTTGGCCATGTGGAGATTTTCCCACATCTGGTACCACGCCTCAGCAGTTTTCTTCCATGGTGTCAATGGTGCTGGGAGGCTGTTGAGGGACGGGAAGAGATCGACTATCCACGCGCCAACCTGACCGGCAATAGTGAAGTTCTTAAGACACTCGTGACTGGTCTGAAGTTGCCATTCGTCTCCGGTGATGATGCGCATGCCGAAGGTGATGGAATATACGATGCTCGCCGCAAAACGCTCGAACTCCTTGGGGAAGTCGTTTGATTGAAGAAGGTTTTTCAAGAGCTGTTTGCTCTCTAGGTCCTGAATTGCCGTGTAACAGGCTGACGCACGCGGGCTGAGCACAGGAGCTTCTAGTCGTTGGTGCAAGAGAAAGTCACTATCGAATGGCTTGAACATTATGTGCTTGCTCTTGCACGTCAACTCTTGTGCCATAACCTTGAAATGTCAGGTCGCTATCACAGCTGTCGGTAGAATCAACTCGTAACTTACCATGCGTGGCCGACTACTGTAGATCATTGCCTTCTTGTCGAGCAGATCTTTGGCCACCTCATGGTCTCCAATCAATATCACATTCGTGCCGCCGAAATTGAGGTAGACAAGAGGACCATACTGCTCAACCCATTTCTGGTATGTAACCCAGACTGCTTCTTTGGGGGCCTGGTGTAAGTTGCCGAGAATGGGCAGGCGAGGCGGTCCCGGAGGTAGATTCGAGTCTTGTCGTTTACGTAACCAGAGGTACAATACTGCCAACAGACTGACAACAAACAGGACTGTTGGTGATATTATGGCCATTGTGACTGGGTTGGAGAGGCTTGTATCTAGACACTCGAGGCGTGAGAGCAGACGCCATTTAACCGAAGATGCGATACACGGCGATAACAGGGCATGTTGCGAGCTTTCGGTGCCTCATCTCAAGCTAGGCTTCGATACGTCCCGCTCCCTGAATTTGAATGGGGCGGACCACGGCCCGTCCCTTGTCGCAGCCAATGACAGGGCGTGGAGCTACTGGGTTAATACGAGCGTACCCAGGTAGCGTCGTGTAGGATTGCGGCACAGCTTGAGCCATCAAATCATGAACGCTCATGAGACGCTTCTGCAGGACTTTCGGCAGATAGGAGAGTGCGACGCGACAAAAGTCATACCGCACGAGCTTGGCATGCCTGAACGAGCAATAGCACGCCCGAATGACCCTGATACTTAGGACGCAGTATCTACAGGAGCAGCATGTGAACGATGCTCTGTCCTCTGAAGGGTCTTGCGAGTGACATTCTGATGTCTTCGAGGTTTTTCGCTGCTCTTTTTCGCTGATATGCATGACTATCGAACAGTCCTCAATGTTGCTGGGTGGACTCTGGTCTCGTTTTCAGCCATCTTCGTCTCAGCGCGATCATATACACGCGCACGAGTCGTGACGACGACTCTGGGCTGGGACGACTGGTGTATGATTGCTGGCCTGGTGAGTTCGACTCTAGACCTCAGTCCTACATTCAATTGCCATTGACTAACTGGAACATCAGGTCTTCGCTGTAGTGTGTACATCACTCGTAACAGCCGGCACTGCGCACGGCCTTGGACAACATGTACAGGACATCAGCGATCCAGAAGATCAGGCTGCGGCTACTATGTACGTGCTGTTGGCGCCTTGCTTCTCCATCGTCAGCGCCTTCTTTACGAAAGCCTCCATCATCATCGCACTAATGAGGGTAAGTACACAAGACTACGCAAGAGACGTAACTCTCAGCTTACCAGCCTAGATTCGAGGACACACGGCGCGTCTATCGCACAACTTCATCGCGTATACCCCTCTGGTCGTCCTACTGATCGGCTCCGCACTCTCATGCTCTGTCATGATCTTCTTTTGTTCGCCCGTACAGAAGTCTTGGAGACCGCAGATGGAGGGCAAATGCTTGGACCCCAAAATGCTGGATGTTGTCGGAAAGTCGGTCTCAGGTATGTTGGAGGAATGCCAATGTCTCTGCCAGGTGCTGAAGCCTCAGTGTATAACGCGATGATGGACGTATTTTGCACTATAATGCCATACTTCATCATAAGGAGTTTGAACATTCCTCGAAAGGACAAGCGAAACCTTGTAATACTGATGGGTGGTAGCATCCTGTGGAGTCACCTCGCCGCACTGTTGATGCAATTACTGACGTTGGCAGTGGCACATTCGCAACCATCATGAAGATTGTAGCGATGGGCAGCATCTCCAATGTCGCGGACATGACACACTCCTGGTCAGAGATAACGATCTGGTATCTGTGAGTGTAGTGCTATTGATCACAAGGGACCTTGACTCACTCAAGCAGGACTGAAAACAATGTTCTCATCATTGCTGGATGTTTCCCTGCCCTGCGGCCGTTCTGGCGTGTTGTGATTGGGAAATACAGCTCGTACCTCTCGTCGAACGCATCACGCAAAAATCCTCCACGAGGCGGAAACGGACGATCGACCGAAGACAATGAGCTGCAAGTGTACACCGTGGGATCCCAGCCCAAGTTTGGGAAGAAACCCAATCTGTATTCGACAACGATTCGCGTCAGTAGTGAAGAAAGGTTGTGTCCTAGATCAGACGGAACTTGTGTGGAAACCATTGAGAGGATCTTGCACAACCATGGAGACGAGCGCTTCGAGCGTCAGGCCTGCATTGCCAGCACTCGCACAGGGGGAATATCGCCCAGCTATAGCACGAGGATAACAGTTACCAGTGAGGTAGAGATCAAGTAGAACGCGTGTCGAATCGACGATTCTGTAGTAGCGCCCGCCCTTGCCAACCCCGCTACCCACTTCCCCACCGCCGGCGTCACACTGCGCCGGCTTCCTTATCGATCCACCATCGACCCTAGCGGCCTTACCGTCGCAGCTCGAGGAAATTTCTGTCTACCCTTTAGTTGGCTGAGGTCACGATACACGACTGATAGCATACTGAAGTTCATACGTTAGAGAACTCATCCGTCGTCCAGCTCTATACTGCTAGCACCAGCGTCTTCCGTTGGCTATCATAATCAGCCTGAGCCGTTGAGGGCAAAGTCAAGGCAGCTCTCTCACCGCTACCACTAGATGAACGGAACTTTCGATACTCGAAGAAAAGCTGAGTGCATGCAAACGCAAGCAGAAGTGTTCCATAGACGATGCCAAAGATGGTGTTCGCGTTGACGCCACTGCCGGAAGCTGCTATGGTCGGGACAATGCAATTTATTATAGCAAGTAACGCAGGGGCTGCACAGACTTCTGATAGCAATGTCAGAGCAAGTGAAACAACTGCCTGTTGTTACAGCAGGTGGGTTGTTGGGGTTCGACGTTGCTGGACGCATTCTACTTGGCCTGCAGTTATATATTTATGTAAACGACATTCAGCATACATAATGGCGACGCTGTGTTCATGAAACATGGGTATGAAAGTCGCGAAGATCTCTGACTAGCATTTTTACACGTTAAAAGCTCAGTATATCTTTGTCACGAACTGGTTCGTGGACACGACTGAGATGTTCGGGTTCCAGAACCGTGATTTTAGCTTCTGCAGGGAATATCACAGAAAAAGCCACGCGACACAGCATCCCTTGTAACGCCGCACAGACATTGCCTTTTTTTTGGGGGCGGAGCGATCTTCCTACGTAACCATTCGGGAACCCGTTAGCGAAGCATGTTGTTTGTTCGATAGCGTCATCTAGAATCGTGTTGCTGATTGCGCGCGGGATGCGGATCTCTTGCCCCACCCAACAAAGCTAGCGGAGCAGTCCCGCACCCCACACTTTACTGCTTGTACCATTGCAACCGCATCCCAGGCTCGTGATCTAGAACAGTATCACTCCTAATTATCCATCGCCACGAATCCCACCTGTTTACAAGCCCAATAAGCTTTACAGCCACAAATGTGAATGGCCATTATGGAACATCTGTTTCAGCATTCTGCTGGAGGTCTTCTACAAGCCTGCATCGAAGACTATCGTTGCTGGAGACTGATGTTACATGAATTGCAAGCCTGGGTTATTTGAGATGGTGCGCACGTCGTGTGGCCTTTGGACGTCTGTGGCGACAACCACCGGCCCTCTCTGGGGAAGATAGCTGGCTCCAAGCTCGTAGGCGCAGGCGTGGGGCGAATGAAGAGAGGCATGAGAAACGGAGAGCGAAGCCTGCCCTGTGGTAGCAATCCTGCCCGTACCTGTAGTTCCTGAGCTTCTTGCGCTAGAGGTAGCCACATCAACGGCTTCGCTGGGATGCAAATGCAAAGGGTGAGACGCTGTCAGAGTGCTTCCGTCAGATGAGCGATATTGGCAATTCTTTTTTCCCCGCACCATAGTGAGGTGAAGACAAAATTTGGACGCGAATTGAGCGGAGATACGCTGGTCGCTACTGCATGCGCCTGGTTCCTCTACTAAACCTCAACGATCAGTTGTGAAGCACCATAGCTACCAAACAGAAGTCAAGGGTAGGAGATCACAGAGAAATGCGATAGATCGCGCAGTACAGGACTCCTGTATTGCGACGGCTACAGTGAACGATGATGTTTGTTAGAAAAGGAATTCATCGGCACACGTCAGATCTTGCGAGCCTGAGGCTAATGTACATTCCCAGTACAGTGATCGCGACCTCGACGTTTACCTACTTGTACAGCCCACTTTCACTGTGAACATTTCTTAGCGTCTTTAGCGTTACTAGTGTCACGATGATGTTGTAAACAAACGAGTGGTTAGCAGGTGTCGTGGTGACTGCGGAAGTACTGGCACTAACAGTGCCTCTACAAAGTTCCGTGGCCTTTCCACTAAAAGCTGCCAAGCCATGACCTCAGCCCTCTTTCAACCGACTGAACGGTTGCATTTATGTGCGGCAGCGAGCTTCCTATACAAGTGGGCTGCTGGCGGCCTCCGGGGTGTGTGGCCGCATCTGTGGCCGCATCTGTGGCCCCATCTGTGGCCCACTACGACGTAGTCAGATCCTATTGGGCCGTTCTCGTCGTTGGCGTTATGTGACAGCCACCAATGCGGCCACACACCCCGGAGGCCGCCAGCAGCCCACTTGTATAGTAACGCTCCCATCGCCCTGCAAGGGTGATCCGAGCTCACGGCTTGCGTCTATGCCTGTAAACTTCTTGTTCCATCTTCGCATACCATATTGCCGCTAGTCATAGCACGGCCAGCCTTGAAACCGTGCAGCATGCTCTGCATTCAGCCAAACAAGAGGGACTCCAAAGTAGGCGCACTTACGTGTGCGGGTGAAAGCAACTTTCCTTGCGCCGCCGTCTTGCCTTTCGTCTGTCTTTTTGATAACCTATATAGACCAACCAGCGTCCCAGCATGTTCACCATGGTTTACGCACGCACAGTCTCGTCATTCGCGACAAAGCTCGTCTTTCACAACAACAGCGTTTTGTCTCTAGTTGAGATACAGTGCCCACTCCACAGACCGTGACACCTCTTTGTACACTATCTATAGAGCGTACAAATCGTCTCCTCCCACCTCCGCAAATCCTCGGTGCTACCCCAGCTACCCAAAACCGTTTTCCAGACTTCTGTCATCCTTCCCTGAGGCTGTGCTCGATCAGCACTGGAGACTCAACGCTCGGCACTCAACACACGACACCAAACACAACGTCATACTCCAGCATAGACCAACACCAATCGAAGGCCACCATGGGCCTACCACCAGCTGATGCCACTCCAACTGATCACCAAAGAAGGTGCATCGAACGAATGCTGCAAACGAAAAAGCTTCACATTGGCCAGAACCTCCTTGCTTGGAAGATTCATTTTGCCTTCCCAGACGCACTGCCCTATGTTCATGATTTGAACAGCAATGAAAGTCTTGCCTCAGGTCTGGATGTATTCGCTCCATTCCGACTGTACAGCACTTTCAACGACGACCACCGGGACTGCCTGGCATCATTAGCAGATGTGCCATTTCACACGGTAGAACGATGGATTCGTGAGTGCGGTAAGCATGCCTGAAACTCTTCGTACGGCCAACTCTGACCGACAAGTAGGACATTCTTCAACCAGATTACAAGCGCCATTGCACGACGTCAACGCCCATCCCTTCCCTCCAGCAAATCACTCTCCAGCCACCAAGCGATCTGAATTCGCCGGTTCACTCGATCCCTATGCTTACCGCGAACCGAATACAACCCTTCAGCGTCCCCGCAAAGTCAAAGTCGAGAAGGGATACTTTGAACAAGACTGCCTTACATGCTTTGAGAAGGGCTTTGACCCTAAGTCGCAGAAACAATTGCGCAAACACCTCAAGATGGACAAGCATACAAAGGAATACAAACTCAAGTCCACACCGGACAGTCTTCCTGACCATTATTCCTGCTGTAACATCGTCTTCGACGACGAAGACTCCTGGGCAGACCATGTGGTGGACTGTCACTGCCACTCCTCAGACATGCTTGGCCCCAAACCAATGAGCCATACACATCCAGCTGCTAGTCTCCAGGGTGTGTCGACTCCCGGGTCGAGCGCAGGCTGGTACGCTGGAGGTAGCTCTTATCAAGGTACTCCCGGTTCTGGTGTGACCAGAAACACCAGCTTCTCGAGTAAAGGATCTCGCCGTTACTCTGGTGTATCAGACCATCATGAAGGATCACCGAACGCTGTAGAAATTTCCGGTTTTTTCGAAAGTGGGCCAGTGCCTACTAGCCAGCCGCGGATTCATCTCGAGCCACCATATCTCCCCTCAACTGTCATATCTATAGATTCACCAAGTGAGCAGCTTCCTCTTGCAATGGATGTATTTGGCAACAACCTGTTCGACGACAATCACAACAAGGTCTTCCGCGCTTGTGATAACTCTCTCGTATCTAATGGGTATGCCGGCCTGACCTCCATATTGCCTGGGCGTCCACTATATGCATACCCAGGCTCTGGCAAAGTCCACAGCTACTGGTACGGCATCAACATATGGTAGTCCGCCGAGACAGCGGATAATGTACCACATTGGCTACCCCGACTGCATGACCATCCGGGTTCTGGAGCGTGTCAAGGTCGTACCGCCAAACTCACTTATTGTGAGTACCTGTAGAGCACATCGCGTATTCCATACCTACGCTTTCATTATTTCTTCGGTATCCGCGACACACATCGCAACGGCTAGGCGATGGATTATTCAGCGTCGGTGTTTAGATCTTCCCTTCTTTGCTATTCATCTCTAGGGCTATAGTGGCACCAAAAAATAATAGAAAATCTTTACGTTGAGCCAGACGGTCCAGCTCTTGCGCTCTTGAGTAGTTGCAGAGCTTCAGCTTGTAAGGGCGAGGGTGATAGGTGTCAAGATGTACCCTTGAAATATTAGCAGCACGGCTGGTCTTTATAACCCCGCACACCAAACATTAATACAGATCCCTCTTCACTTTTATGAGTCTCATCCCTGCGCCGGCAGCGTCTGCAAAGGAAGGTGGTAACGGAACGGGACATTTTCGCATCCAGTCAGCTTCATGCCGCGTCGCACGGCACCTACAACACAACGGAACTCTATCCGGCGCTGACAGCTCTAGTGCAGATGTTCACGACGTCGTGAAAGTATCGAAAAGATGTCGGATGCATGCTTCGGTGTGACCGAAAAGCTGCTCTCCAACCATTAGGCCCCCAAGAAGACGGGAGAGAATTTGTTCCGGGTTCAGCCCTGACGTAGCCAGAAAATCCCAAGACACCATCAAATCGCGCCAGGGCGCCTCAGCCCACGCCCCAACGTCAAAGTCGGATCAGATTAGATCCACCTTATCGCTAACCCGCACACTACACGGCGCTCTTCGACCCCGAAATGTGGTTCGCGGGCACGCCATGCTGTCATCGCACAGACCCGCGTGCATCCTCAGGGTACACAGCACAGTCGCGTGGGTGAATGTTCCATCCGCCATGCCACCGCCGCGCTTGGCAACAATAGTTTGTACCAATAGCATGACACGGGCGCCCAACCTTCCTTGCGCACTTCGGTCATGGCGATGCAGGGCCGATCAGATAAAGTAGTCGCATCTGCCATGTCGATATTTGCGATTCTGCGCACGCGGGTCGCGACGCTCACATCTGCTGAAAGAGTTGGGAGATTTGGATGCGAACATGCGCAATTCGATGAGGCCGAACGAGGCTATGCCGCAAACTGGTATCCTCCACAACGAAACTGATCGTGGCAACTTCGGGAAAGATGTCGACTATAACCGCGAACGGTCGCTAAGCGACGATACTTCAAGCGAACATTCAGCCCAGGCTGGTGTGAAACGTATTGAAGCTGTGAGTAAGGCGTGGACGAAAACCTCGATCATAATCGCCTATGTAACGTACGCCCTCACATCTTCCCACCACGAAACGCTTGCTCTACTAACTCTCTTCGAGCCTCCTCCTCATCGCCAATATAACTTCCCTGGAAATCCAAGTAACCAGCGCCCTCACCCCCTACGCGACTTCCGCCTTCGCCCAGCATTCCCTTGTCTCCACCATCTATGTAGTCCAAGGCGTCGTAGCCGCCGTCATCAAGCCGCCTATGGGGAAAATCGCCGACGTATTCGGTCGCCTAGAATCCTTCTCCATAACCATCTTCCTTTACACGATCGGCTACATCATGCAAGCCGGCTCCAACAACGTGCAAACATTCGCTGGGGCGCAAATTTTCTGGGCAGCCGGCTTCAACGGCTTACAGGTCCTGCAACAGATCTTCGTCGCTGACACGACGGATTTGCTGAATCGCGCACTGTTTTCGACGTTGTTCGACTTACCGTTCTTGTGGACGACGTGGGCAGGTCCGGAGGTTGGGCAGGCGATCTATACAAATATCTCGTGGAGATGGGGGTATGGTATTTGGGCTATCATTCTGCCCGTATGCTTCATCCCACTTGCTGTGAGTTTGTGGATGAATCAGCGGCGGGCGAAGAACCTGGGTTTCGATGTGCCAAGTCCGTTCTACGGGCGCAATACGTTCCAGGTGCTGAAGAACATCTGGTTCGACCTGGATGGATTTGGTTTGCTGTTGTTTGCAGCCGCCATATCGCTTATCCTGTTACCTCTCACTCTCGCCCCTAGTGCAAGCGGCGGGTGGAGAAATGGGAGCATGATTGCTATGTTGGTTATTGGCGGTGTCTTGTTGCTTGCTTTTCCGTTATGGGAGACAAGCAAGAAGCTTGCGCCGAAAGCCTTCTTCCCGCCAAATCTCTTCAAAGAACGGACAGTCATCGCCGGTGTCTTGATCGCGTTCTTCTACTTCAGTAAGTCACTCTCCACACCCTTGATTCGTATACTGATTGACCCTATAGTGGCATTTTACATGTCCGTCTTCCCCTACTTCAGCTCCTACCTCCAGATCGTCCAAGGCCAATCCATAGTAACTTCTGGCTACATCACGCGCGTCTTCACCTTCAGTTCAACCGTCTCCAGCGTCGTCGTCTCACTCCTGATCAAATATACGGCGCACTATAAGTACTATGTTACCTTTGGCGCCGCCATCTACCTCATGGGTATGGGTCTCATGTTGCACTACCGCACTGAATCCGCATCAACGGGAACTCTGGTCGGTACGCAGATAGCTATTGGTATCGGAGGAGGCTTTCTGAATGTGCCGGTGCAGTTGGGTGTTCAGGCTAGTGTAAGCCATCAGCAAGTTGCAGCCGCAACAACAGTGTGGCTCACCCTCCTGGAAGTTGGTGGTGCGGTCGGTTCAGCCATCTCCGGCGCGATCTGGAGCACGTACATTCCGCGAAACCTCCAACGTTACCTCCCGGCTGAGAATGCAGCCGATTGGGCGACCATCTACGGGAGTATCGTTGTCGCAGCGGATTACGTCACGTATCCGGCCGGATCTCCAGTGCGCATCGCAATCAACAGGTCGTACCAAGAGACGATGCGATATCTTCTCATCGGTGCACTTTGTTGCGCCGCGCCGATAGTGCCGTTGACGTTGTGCCTTAAGAATTATAAGTTGAATGCGATGGATCAAAAGGTTGTGGGAAATGTGATTGGGAGTGCTGAGAAGGAGAGAAGTTCAAATGATAGTAGCGGGAGTGGATGGAGATTTTGGAAGAGATAGATGCAGCAATGCGACATGAGTGATTCCTTCATATTACAGATAGACCCATCAGCGAGATCATCACTTACATGTCACATATGAAGCAGTGGATTGGTGGATATCGATTGCAGTAGATATTAGCCCAGTTGCATCGTGGATTCTCTGCTTTTACACAGCATAGAACCAACTACTGCAGTATATCGTGACCTCGGTTATGAGATACAGTGTTATGATACCGATATAGAGTGCAAGTCCGTAATTCTATAATCTACATAATAGTCTCTCCATGTAAAGACCTACAGCGATACTTCTTCGGTCAACAGATTCTGCCATATAGACACTGATCAGCAGTAGTACTCCTGCTATCAAAGGTGTTGTTAACATCCACGCCACAAATACTATCCCCCACTTTCCTTGTGGATGAGCGTCGAAGTAACTAACGCCAGTAACGCAGAAGCTTGTCCAATGTAAAGACCAGTGTAGTATGATACGAAGAATAGTCTGATGACATAGGTACAAGCTGAAAGAGATGCGTCCTAGGAATTGTGCCGCCCTAGTTTCAAAAGGTGCTCGAAGTCGGGGTAGAACACGCATACTACCAACAACCAAGATCGCGCCGAACGTATGCCATGTGCGCATTGTTGTTTCTGTGTTCCACCACAGGAGCGGAGGACACCATTCGAGGAAGAACCAGTCTGACGGGAAGTTTGCGTCAATGGTGCCGTCAGACTGAATTCGTATGGGTAGACAAAGGAGGTAGATGCCCAAAAGAAAGACCGAATATCTCGACAAGGATGATAGTCGATCCAGTACAGTCTTGAATGGGTTCAGCCTCCAGTTGTATTGGCGAGAAGGGGGCAAAAGTGACAGTATCTCGTGCTGTCCAAATGACGCGGAAGCGCTGAGTTCTGCATACAAGACTCCTGCGAAGAAAGCCATAAACTCGGGTGTACCATTCCACCATGACCGCACACAAAGTAGTCCTATGATGAGAATTCTTACTGTCTCGCGGGCGTTTGATAGTCCAAGTAGTGTCAGGTATACTTTCATAGAGCCGCGTATCTCCACAGGAACCGTCCAGAAGTCTGGGATGATGGTTAGCAAAGTGTGACCTTATGCCTTTTGGTTTACTCACGATCGTTGAGTGTCAGATTCTGGATATTCTCCACGTTGATGATGCTGACAAAAGACCGTGCTAGGCACTGAGCATGTGGGATCGGAGACTTCCATGGGTGTGCGCCTGAGCATCCTGTGCCTTCTTTGAAAGGTATAGTGTAAAGTCCAGTATAGTACAGCACATGACTTCCTAGCATCATGATTGCAACTGGGAAGCACAACCGGAACATCCTTCTGACCACACTGCTTGTCAATCTCTGGTAGAACCGGGCCATGGAACCCTCGTGACGAAGTTTGATCAGGCCAATGGAGATGGAGTATCCAGATACCACAAAGAAGATGTCGACCATGCCAGGTCCGGAGAAGAAGATCCGAAAGGGTAAGACCTGGATTAGTTGTCGGTTTTCAGATGCTGGTAAGTCCCAGAAAGATCGATAAGGCGTGGCAAGCTTTCCAGCTGTCATATGGAACCAAACAACAATGACTGCGGCAACACCGCGGAGTCCATCCAACCAGATCTCCCGGCCCGCAGGGACTAACTTTAAGGCCATGCTTTGTTGATGAGAAGCAGAAGAAATCGTGCAGTGTGATGATATGAGGCCACGAAAGTCTTGTTCTGAGTACAGAGACTGGTTCTATGGTCCAACAGTCGAGGATGATGCTGGATTCGAGGAACGGGATACTGATATGGTCATCGATCAGATGATATACACCATCGGATGCAATGCTTCCGACGAACCAAAAACGCAAAGCGCTGTGTAAGCTGTCAAAGCTCTGGTAATCCACAGTCAGATATGAAG